CATAGCACTGCAGCATCAGCTCCCCATTACATCCATAGCACTGCAGCATCAGCTCCCCATTACATCCATAGCACTGCAGCATCAGCTCCCCATTACATCCATAGCACTGCAGCATCAGCTCCCCATTACATCCATAGCACTGCAGCATCAGCTCCCCATTACATCCATAGCACTGCAGCATCAGCTCCCCATTACATCCATAGCACTGCAGCATCAGCTCCCCATTACATCCATAGCACTGCAGCATCAGCTCCCCATTACATCCATAGCACTGCAGCATCAGCTCCCCATTACATCCATAGCACTGCAGCATCAGCTCCCCATTACATCCATAGCACTGCAGCATCAGCTCCCCATTACATCCATAGCACTGCAGCATCAGCTCCCCATTACATCCATAGCACTGCAGCATTAGCTCCCCATTACATCCATAGCACTGCAGCATCAGCTCCCCATTACACCCATAGCACTGCAGCATCAGCTCCCCATTACATCCATAGCACTGCAGCTCAGCCATTTCTGATTTAAAAGCCATTGAAAAATTTTCCCTATACACTGCAAACTCTGTTTCATCGCACTCCACCGCTAAACCATCCTCTGCCACCATGGTACCATCCTCTGCCTTCAAGGTACCATTCTCTGCCACCACGGCCCCATCCTCTGCCACCATCCTTTGCCATCAGGGCACCATCCTCAAAGGTACCATCCTCTGCCACCACGACACCATCCTCTGCCACCACGGCACCATCCTCTGCCACCACGGCACCATCCTCTACCACCACGGCCCCATCCTCTGCCACCATGACACCATCCACTGACTTCATTCGACCTGCCTCTTTCGCTCTTGTCTAGAGAAATAAGAATTATTGCCAGGCTGATTCTTTGCAACAAAATGTTGAAATATATTTCTACCTCTGTGACCTTTGCTGTTTATATTATGTGTCCTGGTGATGATCGTCTGCCTGATGTCTGTTGTTATCACACTGAATGTACCATTTAGTTCAAAGGATCTGTTCACTCCGAATGTACCATTAGGCTCATAGGATTTGTTCACCTCGAATGCACCATTATGTCTATGGAATTCGCTCATTCTGCCGTTATCTTTATGCCGATAAGTGACGTCAGTTACAAACTCGGAAACATCTTTAGTGTTGACGATATGATGACGCGAACAATGTGTGCTGAATTCACAACTTCCATCACAGGAGCAGTTCCCCGAGTTCACCTTGAGATCGATCACATCTGTGGGGTCACTTTGAGTTGGTAAATGTACGACGGGATGAGAGCCAGGGGTGTAGCATACACAAAGCAGAAGTAGAGCCACAGAAAACAAGTACTTTATCTCTCGATCCATTTTGATACAAATCCTATGAAAGGTTCAAAACTTCTACTTCTTAATTTTTTTAATTATTTTCTCTTTAATTGTTCATGAATACAGTCAGTGGCAACGCCATCAAATTCAACATGGCAGGTCCCTTGCAGGTCTTAAAAAAATTTGGCGGGTCCCAAATAAATGTATTAAAAATAAAATTTATTTATTAAGTAATATTTATTAATGAAAAAATACAACTTGAGTGTCTGTACGTACGCTATTGGGGAGGGGGGGTTACTGAAAAATTACGCCATGCAACAGGGAGGAGGGGGTCGAAATTCGTGATATTTTTGCGTATGTAATATATGGATGGCCTCTTACAAGTTAAAAACTTAAATTTTATATATATTACATTTTATGACGTTATATTGACTTTTGTTGTCGATAAAAATTTAAACATATAAAGACATTTAAAATGGAAGTTCTCTAACATGTAATGTAGTTTACGCTTAATGAGCATATCTACAATATTAGTAACTAATAAAAATTTACCGGGTCATTTGCCAGGTCCCAAGTTTTTTTACCAGGTCCGGGGACCCGCTGGGACCTGGTGTAGCGTCGCCACTGAATACAGTTGAAACAATTTGTATTGTTATAAACAGATTTATATCCACAAAGATCTTGGAAATAATTAGAATCAATGAGAAAAAAACGTTACTTTATCGGATGAATTTTTTGTGTGACTGTGTTAACGAAAACAAACCATCAGCCCACCTAAACAGGAAGGCCGCATCCAGTCCGATTAAACATATCATAATAACTGCCATTTCTTTGGCGGTAAAGTTTACGAGATATTGCTTTAATTTTAATTAAGATTTCATTTCCATGGAAACTGAGTTGGTATTTTTTAATACCAAACAAATGAGAAGAATATTTCCAAATATTTTTTTTTATTTGCTCGACAGAACCATTCTTAAACAAAAAATGAACCAAATATTTTTTTTAAACATTTCATTCCCTAAAAGACGGTATATGACAAAGGGAAAGAGTAAATTAAATATTGAGTCATTTATTGTTTACATGTTACATATGATCAGTTGATTCCACATTAACCCATTCTTGTAGAAATGGTTTCATCTCTGCATCGTGTACATCTTTGTGCTGGTAAATAGGTTTTAATTTTAGACTGTGTTATCGTTCCGTCCTTCTATTGAATGTTATCAAATCTAAACCATAATTTAGAAACCATCTCAACCATGTTTCAAAAAAACATCTTACCCCTTATTTCAGAAGCAATCTTAACCATATTTTAGAAACCATATTAACCATATTTCAGAAACCATTTAAACATATTTCAGCCACCATTCAAACCATATTTCAGAAGCCATCTAAACCCTATTTCAGAAACCATCTAAACCATATTTCAGAAACTTAAACTACCTTTGGTGACACGACTGAAACCATCGTAGGGTGTCACATAATTTTTTTTCAATTATCAAGCTATCAATATTTAATACGTCCGAAATTGCGTCATAATTCAGGAGTTCACTCTCTGACCACTGCAGCGTCATTTATTATGTTGGTTTCTAAATCTCCCTAAGCACAAAGTATCGTTAAACCTGATTCGGGAGAAGTACCGAGTGGAGGGAAATATTTTTTATCACACGGTGCAAATAAATTTTGTGTGTCACTCGAGCCCAGTCTTTTCTTTCTCAAAACCTGCAGGGAAGGGAAAGGTTGGCGGTGAGCACAGACATTTTCAAGAAAAGTGGAAGACAGATCACTTTTTTGTTGAGAACGGGCATTCTGACGTGCCTTATATGCACCGAGAAAGGTGCGGTGAACAAGGACTGCACCATCATACACCATTATTTAACCAGATGTGCTGAGGAGTATGCAAAATACCAGGGACACGCCAGAGAGGCCCGAGTCGCTAAACTTAATACACGTCTAATATGGCAGGATGATTCTTTCCCGAAAGCAAGCCAAGAAAGTGATGCAGCGGTTGAAGATAGCAACGTGATGAGTGAGATGATTGTTAAGGCAGGCAAGTCATTCATAGAAGGCAAGTTCATTGAAAATTGAATGTTGCAAGTAAAGTCTGTCCGGAAAATAAGGGTCGGTTTAGCAACGTCAGCCCTTTAGCCAACACAGTGGCAGAGCGCATTTCTGAGCTGTCAGGTAACATTTATGATCAACTGTGTGAGAAAGGTAAACATTTCCGGGCATATTCAGTCGCTCTTGATGAGAGCACAGACATTACTGACACCACACAGCTCGCAATATATGTCCGCGGTGTTGATGGTAATTGTGAAGTGATGGGGGAGTTGCTCAAAGTGATTCCAATTGCATGGCCGGACCAATGCTCAGGAGATATTCCGCCAGCTGAGTGATGCCATTGTGGATGCCGGTTTACCGTACAAAAATGTTGCAGGAATAACAACGGACGGAGCGCTTCAAATGTAGCTGGCTGATCTTTAGTGCAATTCTGAACATAGTTTAATACCTTGCTACTCAAGACATTGCTCAACATATTCTGTCTCGTTACTCAAGGCATTACTCGGCATATTCTACCTTGTTAATCAAGAAATGGCTCCCCATATGCTAGAACCTTGTTAATCAAGATATTGGCCCACATATTATTATGCTAATACCTTGTTACTCAAGACATTGCTCCATATATTCTATTACCTTGCTATTGAGATATTGATCCACATAATCTAATACCTTGTTACACATATTCAGCTCCTTTCATTATGTGTAATTAAAAAGTGCTTCAAAAATGGAGTGTGTGGAGGTAAAATTTATAACTACGTTAGACTACCAAGGCTTTACAAGTTTCTGCAATGAGAAAATAGGCCTCCAAGTTGTTTTCTGAAACTTTGGGGGAAAAAGATATGGGCTTTTTTTTCGTAGCACTCGAATATTTGGAAAGTTTTCTCGTCTAGACCTTGAAATAGGATCATGACCGAATACCGAAAAATCATATTGGCTTAGGGCAGTCAGGCAAACCTATGCCATGTGAGTGGCAAAAGAAAGTTCATTTCTACTTCATGCTTAGGGTTATTGTTAACAGTTAACTTACTTTTAAATTTATAGTAACTTGAAAATCAACATAACGATGGGGGGGGGGGGGCGGGGGGGGCAATCCCTGCTTTGCCTAAAGAATGACATATATAAATTGAATGTAGCTGATGGATCATGAAATGATCTTTGTGTTGCTCACTGTTGGATAGCTATTCAAGCTATTGATATATTTTGTATAGGAAAAAAAATAGTCCATATGACAGACATACAAACAGCAGTCAATCATATTAAGAATTAATTGAAACGTTGGACACTCGTGCCAGAAACAACATTTCCAGTCCATCTAATATCGAAGCCAATTGGACTAAACATGGCATTCTGTCCATGGGCCTGGAGAAACGAGACAATTTCTGCTCTTGCATAACCTGTTTGAAACACGTGCAGCACTGTCACGGCAGGTGTCTGAACCAGTCAGTGTGGACGAGCAAGACCCCCCCCCCCTATACTGTTACCTCACGCTGATATCACCTTGGCGTCGTGAAGTAACGAAACGGTGTGAAATATAATTAATTTCCATAAAATTATTTACCAACACATTTCGTTACATCTTACAGTATATAACCTCGTCCCATTTCATGATGTTGAACGCTGCCCCCAAGTACTCAACTATCTGCAAAGAATACTTCGCTGTACAACGGCTAACACCTGAAAATGTACTACATCTTCTTCCTGCTCTGTTCGTTAGTGGCGGCCGTACCACTTGAGAAGGTCAGTTATAATACTTTGTTCATCTGCTTCGCTTGCCATTTAAATTACTCATTAAAATATCATTTATATTCACAGCGAATGGAAAGATGTTTTTTATGATCTATATCGATCTTTTTATGTGTGAAATAAGTTATTATTGTTATATTATTATTATTTTTATTATTATTATTATTATTATTTATACTTGCAATAGTTTTTCCTTACATTTCTGTAATTATAAACTTGAAATGTACGATTTTCTTTCAAAATTTGTATATGATCAGTTAGATTTCTTCAAATGGCCAGTTGCATCCAACCCTATTGAACATTTATACACCATCTAAATAACCAGTTATTTTAGAAACAAGTTGACCACTATAACATTTCAATATGACCACCTACTGGCTAACAAGTTGTAGAAATCACTTATTGAAATTCCAGTTATAAGTATTAAATAATGATTAAACCAAGTATCAAGACTAATTGATATTACTAATTGATTATATGTTTGTAAACTTAATTCTTCAGTTTAACTAAAATAAACTACCACAAATGATATCCGAATAGCATTGAGTCTAAAGGGACCCAGGTCCGAATAGCGGCGATGCGTTTCAGGTTTCATTTTGACTAAATGCTATTCGGATGTCATTTGTGGTCGTTTATTTTAGTTAAACCTAAGAAGTCCATTCAATTATCTTTCATTTGAAACCAAATTTTGTCTTACAAACCCTACAATAATATTTAAATATTGTTTGATAAACCCAAACTTTAACTTCTCGGACCCGGGTCCGAATAGCCGCAGCCATCACGAAATCACAGTTTAGACTAAGCCTTGTACTTAGACTTAAAACTGGAACATTCTTTGATCCAGAGATATTGGCACTGAACTAAACCAGAAACTCAGACAAAAATGTAGATGTAATGTATGTATAAGAAATCTACACCATTCGGGATTGATATTCCAGTAAACAATAATATACATTTGAAATTAAATGACGATATTGATATGCTTCCATATTCACAATCAGTAAATATGTTGTAAAATAAAATAAACAAATGAATGTTAGATATCTACCATTAAATGTGTTGACTATTACAACAGAGACAAGAGAAGAGTGACGTCAGCTTGTTGGTAAACAATTTAAAGGCAACTGTCGCCAACCTCGGCAAAGGTAAATATTTCTAAAACCATCAGCAATTATAGCATTCATTGGTTTAAAAAACATAAAAATAAAGTAATGTAGAAACCATAAAATTAAACGATTCTGAACATTCAAGAAATTTGTCAGTTTGATGTTCATGAATTAACGTCATACACTCTTTCAATAGAACTGTCAAAAAAAAAGCTATTCCTTAGAAATGTCACTCAAAAACTATTCCTTAGAACTGTTTATCAAAAACTATTCTTTAGAACTGTCAATCACAAACTATTCCTTAGAACTGTTTATCAAAAACTATTCTTTAGAACTGTCAATCACAAACTATTCCTTAGAACTGTTTTATCGCAAACTATTCTTTAGAACTGTTACTCAAAAACTATTAATTAGAACTGCCAATCAAAGAGTACTCTTTAAAGGTGTTACTCAAAAACTATTCCTTAGAACTGTCAATCATAAGTATTCGTTAGAACTGTCAATCAAAAAATTTCCTTATAACTGACAATCAAAAAACTATTCCAAAGAGGATTCGTAGGAACTTGAGGATGGCTAAAAAAAAAAGTTGGCACATTAAAAAAGTAGACAGATATTTTTAACAAACCAAGACTGAGATTCAGTGTATTTCTTAAGACTGGTGCTTTCCTTTAAACGTGTATAATCATAATCAGGAGAAATGACTTTCTGATTAGAATGCCATACAGCAAACCAACGGTACATAAAGAAATGTGAGTCACATGACACAGAGTCAAATACTTGATAGTGACATAAACGCTAAAACGCACGTGCTATGGTTTATTTTTCTTTTAACTTTAGTGCACTAAGGTAATAACATTTATACAGTATACAGTAAGGTAATAGCATATATACAGTATACAATAAGCAAGTTGATTACTTCGTGCTGCTTTTCTTGTTGACACGGTACACATTCGGTTCAAATACCAGGGTCATGCGCAACCCTATACCATGGTGGTCTATGCTTCCGGTTTTGTCCACTCTAACAGAACGAGTATAAATTTAAATGCATGTCCGCAAAATATGTGTATGTCCTTAAATATGTGTAAGTAATAGTCACGGAGTCAAGTCGGCTAAAGATTGTCTTGTGAAGTCGGCTAAAGATTGTCTTGTGAAGTCGGCTAAAGATTGTCTTGTGAATTCGGCTAAAGATTGTCTTGTGGCCATCGATTTGTAAAAAAAAATGTACGCGCCATTCTGAATGCACTCTTCATCATTCAATTCATCTCATTGATTAATTTGTCTAACTATGATAGTCAAAAATTATGTCAAGGCGTATCGTGTCCAACAATTACGACCAACTCAACATATGACTTATCTTGTCAGGTGTGCCCACTAGTGATCTAAGCAAGGCCATCACTGACATCATTGCTCTAGCTGACGTCATTATAGCAAGCCCTGGAGCCAATGGTAGGTTTGCCTTTTAAAATGCATTGGTACTTTAAGTCCATGAACTTGGTCGACTCTTATAATTGTACATATTTTTGGCTTACACTTTATGTGGTGTTTAAAAAATTTTTCTTGCTCTCATTGAATAGGAATATTGAATCAATGCTAGAGAACAAACATATCCTGTACACCAGCCTTGCTTTGTATTGTAAAACGCTCACATACTTCCCCAGCTGACAAAAGTCAGGTTGACGAAGTCATCTCAGCTACCATTAAAACCATCAAGAACCATGCAAAGACAGGTGAGGTTAACATTTTTTTTAACCATCAAGAACCATGTCAAGACAGGTGAGGTTAAAAAAAAATTTAAACCACCAAGAACCACGCAAAGACAGGTGAGGTTAACATTTAAACTTTTTATAATCATGATAAAATAGGTTTGTTTTTAAATCATTGACATTCTCTAAACCAGCGTATTCATAATCCTACCATAGTGTCGATAAATATAAAATCTCTAGCTATCAATACCTTATTATTTATCATAGTAAATTTCTATTTGCACATCTAAATTGAAATAGCTGAAATTTGTGACTACAGTTGACGTCCCTTTTGAGATCTTTCTTTGGATAAATGCCCCCCCCCCCTCAAATCTCTGGAGACCTCTCAACTCTCCCACACCTTGTGACTTTGTTTTGACACAGTCGCTTTGATTTGTGGACCTTGACCAACGAATGTCAACTTTCCTGATGTAGTACAAAGGGAAGCTCATATTTTCCAACCTAGCAGTGGTCCTTATGGTGATCTCCCATTAGTTAGGTCATTGGGGATAACCGTAACAAAGTAATGCCGTGTTACTTGTCAAACATTTGTATGAAATTAATACTTTTCACAAAGCATTAAACAAGTCAACAATTAAATTTCAAGTTCGAAACATTTATCAAAGTTAATATTTTCCATCTAATATTTTGACGGCATGGACAATTATGTTAATTTTTTTTTTCAATGATACGAGTAGGCTGCTAGTTTTGTTTTTTTTTTTGTTGATTTTTTTGCTTCTGATATTTTATGATGTCTTTGTTCATTTCATAACACTCACAGCTGAACTGTGTTAAGACATTACTAAGACGTTGTCATGTATAAAGCTCATAGTTTAGAACTCACATCCTATGATTAGGAACAGCTACAATGAAAATTAACCTTCAGCTATATTGTAGCGGTATCCAAGTAAAAACCAATGGATCCTCAGATACAAACCGATGTTATCTTAGATAAAAACCAATTTTACTTTAGATGCAAACCATTGTTATCTTAAATACAAACCAATGTTATCTTAGATAAAAAAACAATGTTATTTTAGATACAAACAGATGGCAAACATGTCAGATGACAAATGTCACAATTTAAAGCTATGTGTAAGCATGACACAATCACTGAAAATAAATCAGATTAGAAAAGCCCAGATTACCAAAGCCCAGATTACAAAAGCCCATATTACCGAAGCCCAGATAGATAACCGAATTCCGGATTTTAAAAGCCCAGCGACCCAAGTCGTGCAGGTTAAATCTAATAGTTCCTAGATTTTCTGGTTTACAAAGGTTCATCTGAACTCTTAATAGTGTCCCCTTGTCTGATAAAAAGGTCTAAATTCTCATGAACCATCCGTGAACTTATCTACCATTAAAAGGTATTTGCCAAATGAAAAGAAAAAAAAAATAATAATAAAGATAAATTTTTTTTTATTACTTTATAAAGGTAAATTTTTTAACTTTAGATTAATTTTATTTATTATTATTATTTTATTAATTATTTGACAGTACATTAATTTTTTTAATCTAAATTGGTGTTAATGTTTATTTGAAATCTTATTGAAGCGAAGAGTGACTGTTATCCCAGGAACCTAGGACTAACTTTTGATTTTGCTTGACCTATTTCCAGGCAAACTATCTGCCAGAATGTGGGAGCTGTCACGTGCCATCATTTTGTTGTCAGATCTTGCCAACGACTTCACTTTGCTAGCAGGTAATACATTATTTATTAGTGTTAGAGAGTAACTTAGGAATAAACAATAAATTAAAGATCATGTTTAAAGTGTTGAACGTCATAGAGTTCAACTTATCACTCATGTCATACTTTTCGTGGGAGGCAAATTCTCATTGTAACGTGATTTATATAGGAGTTCACTATTTAAAAAGTATTATAATGTGTTCGCCTAACCTTAAACTCAATGTGGTGTCCTGTGGAAATCTTACATTTTTAATAAATTTCTGTGTAAATAACAAAATAATGAGAGCACACATAATTTTAGTAGAAGTGTTTAGTATTTGTCCCTACACACTTCCATTATGCATTGATGTTCCTTTAGAATGCCTGCTGTCTCAGGTCAATAAACTACTAGGCTGGTTTGATATTGAATGTAGAGATACTGTCAAAGAAAGGAACAGTAGTGTAGGTTTGTTTGATAATTAAGGCATAAAGATACAACTAGATCGTGCAGAAGGAAAAGTTTAACAAAATATGACACCTTTAAAAAAAAAAAACTAAACACAATTCGTGTTATTATTTTGTAAAACTCACCCACTCACCCCCAAATTGTTTTTCGCTACCCCACCTTCACTCCAATCTCAACTTTTCCCCCCTTTTCCCCTGCTCAAGACACCCATAGCCATTAACCTTCATACTGTCAATATCATTATGCTCAGATGACGATGAAAAACTTTACAAAGCTGCAGTTGCCGTCAAGGCCACGGGTCAGGCTATTCTGGAGAGCATCCAATTTCTTGGTAAGATACAAAGGAAGGAAATATTCTATCACTTAACGTCTTGTCATATCCCCCCCCCCCGGTAATTTTACAATAATTTCTGGTATAAACATAAATCTGAACATATATTTATGACGAAAGCCACTTTTTTTTTTTAAAGATAAGCTAAAAAAAGATGCTCTTATTGTTTCAAATAAATGGAACTTTGTTTTGAGTTACTGTACTGTAAATACTGTGTTCAGTCTTGAAATTCTTTGACTGGTTTATGTTAAAATATCTACTTCCGAGATTTCACTTCAATTTAACAATTGGGGGAGGGGGTGCACCTAAATTTAACCATTTGGAGGGTTTCACCATGCGCTCTTTATTTTAAAAACAATATGACTCACCACTTAGACTTTATGCCTCACTGAAAATAAAATAGATATATACATTTTTTTCAGGTGAAGACCAAATAAGTTTTGACGTAAGCCAGAAAGAGAAGATTATTGAGAGCGCTGATAAGCAATATCAACGGAATATGTGTCTAAGCGTGAATAATTGTGAACTAAAGTCTTGATCTGACATTCTTGTGTAGGTTTGGCTGTAGAGACAGTGGCGGATCACTTCACAGAAGAACTGAAGGATTAATTTACCGAGCAGAATTAGAACATAAAACTGTTTTAATCGTTTCCTTTATGCTACGTCCCCATTAGCCGGTTAAATATGTCAGATTGATAAGCAGGAAATACGCGAAACTAATGTTGGCAAATTTTGAGAAAAGACGCAACAAAACATCGAAGAGTTCTTCAGTGTAACACCCCCCCCCCCTTTTTCCACCCCGATTAAAAAAAAAGAAGGGAAAAAAAAAGCAATAGCCTACAATGTAGTGTTACAGAGAATCTCTCGAATACCCCATTGCATCGAAATGTTTATTTTACCTAACCTGATTGCAGTCTATCCCCTTTTATAGCCTTGATAAAGTAAGGGAGATTATCAAAGCAGTCATTAAATGCCGCGTCATGTTCAAATTCTATTTCACCGTTACAATCAAAACACTGCAGCTCAACAGTTTCATGAGTCAAATCCTTTGTCAGCATGTCACGATTCCTTGTGGTCACACAACCCTGCGCTGCACCGAATGCACAATCCTTTGACGTGGTCCCATCACCTAACGTCACCCCTCCACCAATAGCCCTCATGTTTTCTAGAGTACTGACGTCAAAACTCTCAAGATCTCTACCAGACGGCGTTGATGATGATTTAGAAAAATCCCAGTCACCAGTTCTAACAAATTTACCCTGAATTCGCCGGGTCAGGTTTCGTATCGCTGACTTGAATATCTTACTAAGAACCAATTGGCTGACATTCAACCGAAATTCATTTTCGCTACTTTTGTCGCTAACATTCCTTGCGCCATTAAATTGAATTAGGTTAACACTATGAGCATGACTTTTGTTTACAATCAAGGTAGCATTCCTTTTATGCCTATTATTTAAGACGTTGGTTAAGTTGTAATGAGAACTCATGTTGACTTTTGTATTAAAAGACATATTCATTTTAGTATTCAAAACCTTGGTGACATTGATGGCGTAACCCTGTTGTGATTTATTTAAAAATAGATGAATCGTGGGTGGACAGCAGATCAAGTCAAGGATTGAAACCAGACACAAGTGCGTTATTTGATTTCTCTGCATCTTAAACCGTGATTCTCGATAATCAAACGATAATGTTAAGGTTGCATTGAGAGTAGTTCTGATTTAATTATTTTGCAGACGAAATTAAGGTTTAAACGATATATATCTTTATTTAATAGCAAATAGAAATTATGAGCTCAGCAATTGATAACTTTTTAAAAACATCTTATTTAGAGAAAGGAAAAAAAAATTAAAATAAATACTTCTTTTCTTAAGTTAAAAAAAATATATTTTCATCTTACACAGCCGAATGTAATTCACGAAACAAACATTCTTGTAGGAGAGCAGACAGGCATGTCAGCATAGTTTTCCTTTAGGTGCCAGCAAGTGTGTCAGCATAGTTTTCCTTTAGGTGCCAGCAAGTGTGTCAGCACAGTTTGCTTATAATTGGAGGCAGGCTCAATACGTTCACATCCACGATAGCCGGCACAATCTTCACAGCAGTGTCAGACTTAACGTGCGGACCTTAAAACATAATTATTTGATGTGGACTGAACCAGCCCAAACAAGCCGACCACGGTAAGCTCCTGGTGCCTTACAGAGTTATAACTCATGGCCTTTGTCTGATTATCACGCTGACCACAAGACCACACTGGACAATGAGAAGACCTTGTCGCGAAGACCGTGCGCATCGTAGACAATTATCTTAAATTTGCCTGATTGTTATTTTTTAATTACATTTCAGATAGAATAATCGTATCAATATCATTAAGAAGTGCACGTTGGTGCCCTTTAAGAAGTGCACGTTGGTGCCCTTTGGGGCGTGGATAATGTGCACACAACTTATGCACAACAGTATGCACAAAAGCCTCTAGTGCAATGTTTCCCAAAGTGATGTCTGCAGACCGGCAACTTGGTCGGCAACTGGGGCGGTCACACGGGGCGGCAACTGAGGCGGCAACGGTCCGGGAGCCTCACGTTGCCTTTCCGCTCAACATTAATATTGTTAACCAAAATAAATAAATACTTATTAAGGCAATAACCGGTCATTTTGTCAATTTCAAAAATGTGCCCACCGGTCCACCGGTCCGCCAAACGTAAATGTTTCGGATACACCGTTTCTATACCGTATATGAACGCGAGGAATGAGGAGGTCTGTTATGAAAGTCTTGACACTGCAGAGACACCCTCTTGTGCTCGCCCCTATGCCATGACTGACAGGCGACGTCAGTTTAAAAAAAAATCTCTCCTAGAATTTGTTCTTCAATTTGTATTATTATTATTATTATTATTGCTGTTGCTATTATTGCTATTATTCCTCACACTTCTTTTGACAAAGACTTAACAATTTAATTTTTTATATTTATAATCATAAAAATGGTTTTCGCAAATGTTAACCAAGTTTTAAAACAACATCTCATCAACACGATTGTGTCAGTCCTATAAATCATTTTTAAAAAAGCAATTAAGATATCAGTAAATTACACCAACAAACACAAACAAATACGTCACATCCTGGCTGATGAGCAGTTTGTCTTGACTATCGTAGGAACTCACCACTGTTACATCGGCTTGAACCATATGTTATATTTGCCTGTGTCACGACACACTTCAATTACATTGACTTTAACCATATTTTACATTTTTTCTGTGTCACGACACACTTCTATTACAGTGACTTGAACCATATGTTATATTTGTCTGTGTCATGACTCACTTCTATTACATCTGCTTGAACCATGTGTTATATGTGTCTGTGTCATGACTTACTTCAGTTACATCAAATTAAGTCATACGTTGTTTTTGTATGTGTCACAATGCCACTCCATTACATCAATTTATGCACTGTGGTGTGTTGTCTGTGTCAAGACACACTTGATTAAATCAATTTAAGCCATGTGGTGTGTTGTCTGTTTCAAGACACACTTGATTAAATCAATTTAAACCATGCGTTGTGTTTATCTGCGTCAAGACACACTTGATTAAATCAATTTAAGCCATGTGGTGTGTTGTCTGTGTCAAGAAACACTTGATTAAATCAATTTAAGCCATGCGTTGTGTTTATCTGCGTCAAGACACATTCGATTAAATCAATTTAAGCCATGCGTTGTGTTTATCTGCGTCAAGACACATTCGATTAAATCAATTTAAGCCATGCCTTGTATTTGTCCGTGTCACAACACACTTGCATTACATCAACGTAAGCCATATTTCGTTTTAAATAATCTGAAGAAATAACGTAAATCTGGAAATATCTGAACAGCGACGTCATAAGGCTTAGAGTGACCCCACCCCTTTTCAAAACTTTGCCACCCCTGGCACACATCCTTCTACCCTTGACCTTTCAGAATCATATTTATTTAGATAGTAACATTTAAGTCAGTTAAAGAAAAATTCACAGCGGTAATATTTTATTGCAATATTTAACTTTGATTGGAATTTTAAAAGTATGTTTAACGCATGACAGCGGTAGGTTTTAGCTGAGGCTTTACTTGTTTAATTGAAACACCTTACTCAGTGTTAGTGAATGAAATCAAACATAATCAAAGTGTAAGGCTTCACCGCCTCTGTCAGTTCAGTTTTGAGGGGATGAAAAAAAAAATATTATGCTGAAGGTTTATGGTTTTACCGCGTCTGTCACCTTAGCTTTTGTCAGGTTGTATTAACTAAGCAGTTCGTGCAGTGTCTTTTTGTTGTTGTTGTTTTTTATTACGAAAATCTGTATCGTGCACAAATTACGGTTACCATGGAGACAAGAAGTGTGTGTGTGTGTGTCAATATCGATTTAAATTTGGCCAACCCGTCATCGGCAAGTTTTACTTCTCTACAAGTGGAATCACTGGTCGCTTCTGTTCTTTTGGCATCAGAAGGTTTCTATAGTTGCTTTATAAAAAATTTAAAAAAAACTAATGGTGTGCGCTGATGGTAAAATTACAAGTCTAACACTAACTACTAACAAACTTAGTCTTATCACAGAAGACATTGCATTACGGATTGGGGTTGGATATTCAAAAACGTGAATCATTTTGTTTTATTTATTTGCGTTCTTTAGTCTCAGTTCTTATTTTTGAACTGCCAATATCGTCGCGTCCTGCAAGGTTTTAAAATATGTTTTGTTCCTTTGTGCTTTTTATTCCCATAGTCGGCATATAAATATTACAAATCAAATTTTCTTTCTTTAAATTTCTCCGTGTGTAAATTTAAATGACTTCTACTGTTTGTGTTTATATGCAAACAAAAAATGTTGGAGTAGATTGACTAATCAATTGTTCCAGGTAGTTCCTAAGAAAAAAAAATCATCCATATCTTGTTGTTCATTAAATTGTATATCCTCGCCATGTCTTCATCTACAGCAATGACTCTCAAGTTTGCTTACAGCTTTTTTGTCATGTATCTCAACCTGGTTGCTACACGGGCTGATTTTTTCACCGACGAATTTGTTATTCCGGCTGGGGAAAAAGATTTTTCAACCTTCTCCAATTTTACTGCCGACCCTGAATTATTTGGCTTGCCCAATCTTGGAGATATTCCAGAGGAGGCATCTTGCATGGGGGAATGTGGGAAATTAAAAAACTTTCCCTGTACGTGTGACCAGAAGTGTATTGTTTACAGGAATTGTTGTGAAGATTTTTATTCCCTTTGTCCATCGACCTTAGCAGATAGTTTAAATCATTTTGGACATCTGCTCAATTTAGATATCATGTGTTCCTTCAGGGCAATGAATACCCTTGTAATCGCGAGTTGTAACAAACAAAGTGACTTCAATAAAACGAAACAATTTTATGATGACGAGTTACAAATGCATTATGGAGATGTGAAATACGTTTCACTTCTTGACCCTTACATTTGGTCATCAGCGTTCGTACCTGTCACAGATATCAGCACGGGACTTGTGTATAAAAACATGGACATATTTCAGTGCAACGCAAATAACCAATCAGTTCCTGTTAAATGGATGCTTGCTGTTATATGCTATAGTGATCGACTTGTGCGATATTGTTTTCATAAATTGGACGAAGTGATAAGAGTTGATGCCCTTAGATTTACAGAAAAGAAACAACCGAAGACCCCGACATTCGGATCTCCGTGCAAACGTTTTCAGTCCATGTCTGATACATTGCAGAATAAGACACTAAAAGTTGTTACATTGCGGAATAAGACACTAAAAGTTGATACAGTGCGGAATAAGACACTAAAAGTTGATACATTGCGGAATAAGACACTAAAAGTTGATACAGTGCGGAATAAGACACTAAAAGTTGATACAGTGCGGAATAAGACACTAAAAGTTAATACAGTGCGGAATAAGACACTAAAAGTTGATACAGTGCGGAATAAGACACTAAAAGTTGATACAGTGCGGAATAAGACACTAAAAGTCGATACAGTGCGGAATAAGACACTAAAAGTTAATACAGTGCGGAATAAGACACTAAAAGTTGATACATTGCGGAATAAGACACTAAAAGTTAATACAGTGCGGAATAAGACACTAAAAGTTGATACATTGCGGAAAAAGACACTAAAAGTTGATACAGTGAAGCATGATATACTAGAACTTTGTAAATTGCTAAATAAGACACTAAAAAATGATGCATTGCTGAATAAGGTAGTAAACGCTTGTAAATTACAGAATAAAACATCAAAAGTTGATACGTTGCAGAATAAGACACTAACAGTTGATAAAGGCCACAAGGAAAGATTGATTGCATTTGCCTCGTACGTTTTTTGCGCAAATCGAATGTACTTAAATCGCTATCAAGCGGCATTGCTCTCTGTGGAGCATTCTATTATACAATGCCCTCCATATGTTCCCCGGAGGGACCCGCTAACCTTTACTTACAATTTCATTGAAATCTTTCCTAACAAAATCATTTTAAGCCATGACCATGGTAACCATAGGAAAAGCCCAT